GGCGTCGGTCGCAGCGGAACTTTCATCGCCCTCGATTGGCTGGCTCAGGAACTCGAGGACGGAAGCTTGGATAACGTTGAGGCAAACGACGACCCGGTATTCAACGTGGTGGATAAGCTGAGGCAACAGCGCATGATGATGGTCCAGGCCGAGTCGCAGTACGCCCTCCTCTACGACGTTATTCGCGCGCGATGGAGAGACCGGTGGATTCGGTTGCATCCTGAGGAGGCGGAGCGGCTGGGACTGTCTACAACCCAAGAACCGAAGGCGAAGAAGCCGCGTCAAGAGGACTTTGGACTCTTGCTGAGCGAACAGCCTCCGGCGGGAGACGAAAACCAGCATGCGGAACTGGAGGCCGAGTTGATCAATGCCGAAGCTGCTTTTGAGCAGGGGAAGAGGTAGGGAGTGAAGTTTCCGAGGAGACTTGATGCATGATGAGCTGGCATCTGGGTAATAGTCCTCGTTCTCTCCGTGTAATTGGCATACAATCAACAGTCGAGACCTTTATCATCGACTTGAATACCATCCAGCAAAGTCTCTGATAAGCACATTCAATATTGGCCATAGCTCCTCGCCGGAAAAACAGTGTTGCCGCTAACCCGTCACTAACCGCGGCATACTGCCGCCCAACAGAAAGCTCTCAGGACTCCAGACGACAGCTCCCCAATCGTCCACAAGCCATCACAATGCCTCTCCTCCTCCTCCGACCGCAGCAAGCACGCTTCCTGGCAAGGCACTTCCAACGCTGCGCCTACTCCACCTCCCCGGGCCCCGTCATAAACGTCACCAGCGTCCCCGCACCCCACAGCGGCAACATCCGCATCCTCTCTCTCAACCGGCCAGCAGCCCGCAACGCCATCTCCCGCCAATTACTCGCGGAGCTCTCGTACCAAATCAACGACATCCACAATGAGGGCGAGAAAGGCGCCACAAGAGCGCTGATCCTGGCTTCCGAGGTGGATTCCAGTTTCTGCGCTGGAGCGGATTTGAAAGAGCGGGCGGGCATGACACAGGAAGAGTATGTTAATACACTGAACACCTCACCGGAAACTGTTGAAAGGGGTTTATAGATACTGATATCCACTAGCACCGCAAACTTCCTCACCTCTCTCCGCTCAACCTTCACATCTATCTCCCAACTCCCCATCCCAACCATCTCGGCACTCGCCGCCCCCGCCTTCGGCGGCGGCCTCGAACTCGCCCTCACAACACACATGCGCGTCTTCGCATCGACCACGACGGTCGCGCTGCCTGAAACCCGCCTCGCCATCATCCCCGGCGCAGGCGGAACCTACCGTCTCCCCGCCGTCATCGGCATGTCGCGGGCGCGGGACATGATTCTGACGGGTCGCCGGGTCGGGGCCGCCGAAGCGTATTTCCTGGGTCTGTGCGACCGGCTTGTTGAGATCAAGCCTGAGGAGGTGCAGGAGGCCGGGTTTGCGCGGAAGAGGGTTACGGAGGAGGCGGTGAGGCTTGCGAGGGAGATTTGTGAGGGGGGCCCGATTGCTATCAAAGCTGCGCTGGCGGCTGTCGAGGGATGTGGGTTGGGGGAGAAGGCGGAGAATGCGGCGTATGATCTTGTTGTTAGGACTAAGGATAGGGATGAGGCGCTTGCGGCATTTAGGGAGAAGAGGAAGCCGGTGTTTAGGGGGGAGTAAGAGACGTTGAAGTGTGGGAGATGGGTTGTTGTTGTATATAGACCATGTATCAAGTGAAAAATCAGCGTCAATTGAACGTATTCACCAGCAATCGACTACCCATCGCCCAACCCGTCATCTTTTCTCCCCACTCCAATCCACCATACCTCATCATATACACCCCTCCCTTACATCTTCGACCTAATCTCCTCCAACAACCTCTGCAACTCCCCCTTATCCGCCTCCTTCGTCGGCCAGATTATCCCCAACCCCTCCTGCTCATTCGGCTTCGGGATGACGTGGAAATGCACGTGGTCCACGACTTGGTGCGCGATGCGTCCGTTGTTCTGCAATATATTGTAGTTCTCCAGCCCCTGCGCGATGGCGATTTTCTTGGCGACGGAGAGTACTTCGTGGAGTTGGTCGTCAGGGATGTCGTGGAGTTTTGCGCCGTGGTGTTTGGGGATGACGAGCTGGGGGGTGTCAGTTGAGTGGGGTGTGGAGTGGGATGGGATGGGATGGGGAGAGGGGGAAGGGAAAGAGAGTATAGGGGGATTATGAGAGGAAAATCGAGGAGTGAGGACGTACAGAATGGCCTTTGCTCAATGGACCGATGTCGAGGAAGGCGAGGGTTTTGTCGGATTCGAAGATCTTCATTGAGGGGATCTCGCCTGGAGGGTGGGTTGTCAGTCTGTATGACTGCGGAATGGTGGGTTGGACGCACCCTTAATGATGCGGCAGAAGATACAAGCGGCGTTCTGCATTGTGATGGTGTTGTCGTGGAGTAACTGAGGCAATGGTGTCGGTTACGGTGTGTTGCTGGAGCTTGGGTGCTTCGGAGCTTTGAGGTTGGTGACAGGGGTGGAGATGCGGGGGCGGGGTTTAGTCGTGCTTGTGGAAGGTTTAGTCGTGCTTGTGGAAGGTTTAGCCGTGCACGGAGGAGGGGCGATGATGGAGGGAGGTGGGCGACGATGGTTCTCGGAACAACTGAGTACTTTGATCTTGCTATAGACTGCAGTTGCTGTATTTCTAAACATTATGAGCTGCAAGGTATTCTCGAATAGTTCTGATGATATTTTTTCGGGTGCTTTTGTATCATGCCTGTCCTGCGAACTTCCAATCCTCGCATTCAAAGTTGGCATAACATCTGAACTCATTGCTCAACCCCTTCGCATGCTTCGGCTCAAACGTAGTCGTCTTAACGCCAACTTTGGCGTACAGCTTTTGGGTCAGAGACTCCATGCGCTCGCCGGTACATCCAATTAATTGGACGGCATCGGGAGTCCAGCTTTTTGCAAGCCAACGTACGGTTAAGGCGGCTGGTCATCGTTAGACATGTTTGCTTCAACGAAGCCTCGACGAGAAAAACTCCTCGACCTCGGTCTTCAACAATTGGGGACATACCTTTTGTCTGGCAATCTTCACTCAAGAACGGCGGGTCCCATATGATGCGATCAAACGCGCCCTTCAATTCCGAAGGCAGCCGAGTCGGGTGCTCGAAATCGTAGCGCACGAACTCTTTGAACACTGCAAACCGCTCGTCGTATTCGAGGAGTTTGATTTGCGGCCGGCATTTGTACTCTCCAGACGCCTATGCATGTCAACCCCAACTCAGAGTGAACTTACGTCCTGGACCTACCAACAGATTCTTAAGCTGTATAAACGCACTAGGCGCCGAAATAACAGCTATTCGAGTCTCGTCTATAGCGCCATCCAGAAGTTGTCTGGCCAGCGTCGTTGCAGTCTCGTCGTTATACTGAGCACAATCAGCACCGTATGCTTCACTAGAGAGCTTCAGACATACCCAGAACTGACTCGCATTCCAGTCCTCCGTAAATGCCTCCATGGAGAGCTTCCCCTCAAACTCATCTTCAGCCTTCGTCTTCAAATCTTCGAACTGCTTCTGTCTGCTATCCCTCTCGCCATAAAATTCTTGCAACGCCGCCAGCGTATCGGCAGGAAGCTGTCTTCACAACATCAGGATATATCCTCACACATAAATAAACTTTGTCAGCTCGACTTACAGCACTTCATCATCATCAAACCCAGCCGACGCCATCTCGTCACTTATGGCAACCTTGCCTACATGGTCGCTCGTTCCCAAAACAGCGAGACTAGCCGAGTCGGCGTTATCGATAAGGACTATCTAAACTCCGTACCTCGGAAGTCATGCTACACGAGTAACATGTACGTAGCATGGCGATTACGTGCTCCTCTCACGTTTCGCAGACTGTATTCCGTAATGGCAGAACCACTGGTGCCGCTTCCGCCGGTCGAGAAGTTGAGTAGTCGTGTTATCAGGATTCTGGCTGGGAACCCGGGGAAGGTGAGCTGTCTGTTTGGAAGTGGACTGAAAGCGGGGGTGCTGACGAGGATGTAGTTCACACTGCAAGGTCCGTCTACTGGTGAAGGTTTGGGTGTAGAGTCGATCTAAAGATCACAGGAACAAACACCTACATCGTAGGCACCGGCTCTTCCCGCCTCCTCATCGACACAGGCGAAGGCCGTCCCGAATGGCTCTCCTCCCTGACCTCCGTTCTCCAAAAAGAGAACTTCACAATCGACAAAGCGTTGCTCACACACTGGCATCACGACCACATCGAAGGCGTCCCAGACCTGCTGAAAGCATCACCAAACACCAAGATCTACAAACGTGACGCCGAAGACGACGGCTGGAGTACCATCGAAGACGGGCAGAGGTTCGAAACCGAGGGCGCGACGCTCCGCGCTTTCTTCAGTCCGGGACATACGACAGACCATGTTGCGTTTATCTTGGAGGAGGAAGACGCCATGTTCACAGCCGATAACGTGCTTGGTCAAGGCACCGCCGTTTTCGAGGATCTGAGCAGTTATATGAAGAGTCTGGATGGTATGTCGAAGGCGTTCAAAGGGCGTGCGTACCCTGGCCACGGGCCAGTCATCGAAGATGGGCCTGCGAAAGTACTGGAATACATTAAGCACAGGAAGTTGCGCGAGAAGCAGGTCGTGGATGTGTTGGCGCAGAAGGAAGAACCGGCCGGGGGCTGGACGTCGATGGATGTTGTGAAGGTCATCTATAAGGCGTACCCCGAGAATCTGTGGGCGCCGGCGGAAAGGGGCATTGTGCAGATTTTAGAGAAGTTGCTAGAGGAAGGGAGGGTTGCGCATGATGAGAGGACGTGGTGGTTGACGGGAAAGGCTGCGTTGTAGGGCAAGATTGAATGCATGTGCTTTTGAACTTATGGGGCGTTATCAAGGGCGTCATTGGCGCTCGCTTATTTGCTGGCGAATTGTCCATTGCGGTCAAGACTACGAGCAGTCGCTGTAGGACAACAGAATGTTTGTTACATACATAGTGTTTTATTGACAAAAGTAACCCTATACGACAGCGTGCCAGAGTGGTTAATGGGTTAGACTTGAATTGCATAATTCAGTCATCTAATGGCTTCGGCCGCACAGGTTCGATCCCTGTCGCTGTCGCATTCTTTTTTGCCCTTTTTACTTCCCTTCTTCTATGCGCGACAATACACGGACAGGTGCCTCCTTCAATGCTCCTTGTGTGCTCCGGTGGCTTAGGCACTCTCACCCGGGCAAAGGTGGACGTCTCCGGTTGCATGCGCTATATCGTTTCAAGCATACTGGGTGTAGTAGGTAGTAGACAGTAACAAACCCGTTGTATGTTACATGTAAGAACGGGTTAGGAGGGGGCTTCATTAATGAGGGTCTACAGGGTAAGTGTTCGAACATCCCCAGTCACACCGAGACTGCATCCCACGGATACATGACGGACTCGCATCGATACCGATCCATTCGGAAGCATTGCCAATGCTTTTTCGCTACCACTCTACTCAAAACGAGCCCCATAGATGATCGAAGCGCAGTTTCCAGTCCATGCACCGTAGAATCATAGAAGTTTTCTGTCAAGCTGACAGCGATCCAGTCAAATAAATCACGCCTGGAAGATCTCCAGCGGGAAGCCATTCGCCATAGCCTTGTACCCCACCCCATTAGGATGCAGATAATCCCCACCATGGTACCTGGACTCCAATTGGCCAGGCGTAGACTTACTCTCCACCATTGCACTGAAATCCACAACATGATTGAAACTTCCACTCTCCCTAATCCATTTATTCACCCTTACCCGCGTCGCCTCGCGATTCTTATCGCTATAAGCCTGTTGGCTGGGACTCGGTGCGCCGAATGGTGTGATGGTTCCGCCAATTGTGACGAGGCCTAGCTTCTTTGCGTCGGAAGTGATCTGTGTGTAAGCTTTGATGAGGGCGTCGCCGATTTGCTGCTGGGTTTGAGGAGAGATTGCACCGCCGCCGATGTCGTTGACGCCTTCGAAAATCATGACGTACTTGACGCCGGGTTGGGTGAGGGCGTCGCGTTGGTAGCGGGAGATGAGGGCCGGACCGAGACAGTCGCGAAGTACGCAGTTTCCGCCTGCTGCTTGGTTGCCGATGGCGACGTTGGTGATATTGGAGGACTGGAGGCGAGCGAGGACAAGGTCGGGCCAGCTAAAGTCGTGGTTATTGTGTGCAGATGTGGCGGGTCAATTGGGTGTAGGCTTACCGGTTGTTCTTGTTGTCGTCACTGCCTCTACCATCGGTGATACTGTCGCCCAGAATGATGAGCCCTGAAGTCTCCTTCGGCACAAGAGCATAAACTGCGCTGACAAAGTACCAATGTACTGACTGTGTGCCACTGAAAGACGTAGCATTGATCTTGTTACCCTGCACAAACCAGCTAGCAGTTCTGCTGCCCGGATGGCCAGTTATGCTGCTGCTGCTTTGTCCTTGCTGGCTGTAAAGGCTCACGGCGATGTTCGTCTGGGGTGTGATCGCGAAGTCAAGCTCGTCACTGACCACGGCCTGTCCTCGAGGAACAGTGAAGCTTGCCTTTCCACCCACGGTGATCGCTGCCAGTAAAGACGCTTGTAGGCCACTGACTCCGGCAGCACCGCCTGCAGGAAGCCCGACCGAGCCTGCAGTGATGGGCAGGTCAGAGCCTCCGAATGTGTTCGAGATGGCGATTTTGATCTTCGGTGCCGCCACTGTCATGTAGAAGGTCTGCCGGAGGGTGGCGTCTCTCATCACTGGTGTAGAACCCTTGAACCTTGTTCAGAGAAAGACCCACACAAGATAGAAGGACATACAAACGGAGACGGAGGCATGTTGTTCGTCTCCACAAGCTGAGGCATGCTCGTCCATGCCGTTACCCAATGACTGTCGTCTTGCCGCTTGTCAATGGTGCGAGTAGTAGCCTGCGCGGAAAACGCGACTAATGCCACAAAGCCCGCCTTCGAGAGGAACATGTTGCCAGGCCTGATTTGTGAAGAGTTTAAGCCTGGTTCACGGTACATTCGAACGAAAGCCCATCTTATAACAGATGCCCACAGAGCCGCATGCCCTAGAAGCAACCTGGGTTATCTCGATGTACGATTCGGTCAGCCGCGGATTTGTGGGGTTTTCAAGTCGTATAAATGTTCGTGCACTCTAGGAAGGGTTTGAGCCATATTAATTCCGGTGGGGCGGGTACAAATGTTCCAGGAATCCGTGAGACGAACCACGCGAGATGTTAAAGTCGCCAGAGGCCACCAGACCGCGCTTTCAAAAACACATGATGCCTCCAAAAACACCATCATAACTATATGATGAGACGGAAGCCAGACTGCGAGGTGTTATACTACCCTCATCCTCCTCAACAGCGAAGGATGGTGGCTGATGAGAACAGAAGCAAACGAGAAGCAAGCAGATGTATGATGTGAGAAGTAGAAAAGAACAGACGATGAGGAGATCTAGAAGATTTGACAGATGGAAAGGGGTGCACTTTGAAGAGGTACGCAATGGAAAGCAGGCTGCTCTGCACAGCTCGGTGCCCGCCCCCCGCATCTTGACGCAATGTCGGAGCCAGAATTGAATCAATGCAGAGGCTGAAGAAATACAGAGACCGAGACAAGACAACGAGAAGTCTTGTGGATGAATGCTCAAAGATGCGTGGATGGAAATGACACCCACAAAACGCCAAGATCTTGGCACTGTTGTCATGCTTCGCCGAAATAAACAACACCAACCACGAACACGAACGATCAGATCCGCAACGACGACTGAGTATTGTCGTGCAGCCTGTGCCAATATGCCATCCGCGTCGAAACATGGGTCTCGCTCACCATCGCCGAATCCGGCACCGCCCATTCCTGATACTCCAGGACCCCGCGCAGCTGGCCTGCTCAAGATCTTCGATGGCGCCGTGAAATCCTCACTGGAGAAGTGCTCAACGACCAACTTTGCCTCTTGCTTTCCTACACTCGCACAATACAGCCCTGAGACACTGGAGATTATCCGCGTGCAATTTAACGACCAACTGGACAACGCCTGGAGGTCAAACTTTGACAAGATTATTAAAGACCGGGACGTTGTGAGGTCGTTGAATGGTCTGGACCAATGCATTGAGGATGCCAGACAGAGGAAGAGGGCCGCCCAAGAGAACGCCAATGGTGGCCCTGTTGAAACTCCTGTTGCGTATGTGCGCAATGTACGCGTGTGTATGGGCTTGACTGACGATGCTGACTTCACAGACCCCACACGCTTTCGCCCTCAGAAGTCCACCTGGCACATCTTATGCCTTTCCTACAGGAGCAGTCTACCCGCATGGATGACCAGCTCAACGCAACGCAACAAGCCAACGTCGAGCTACTCTCCACCATTACTCAACAACGCGCAGAGATAGAGGCTCTGGTGCATGGTCTTGAAAATGTCATACACGACCTCGAAGCAAGTGCACAGATTGTTGGCCAGGACGACGTGCAAACCCTCGGTCAAGAGATAAGAGAACTGGACGTCGAGATGGGAACGTGACCGTGATGGAGACTGTCTTGGATGGGACGCATTTTCAGTGCCCGGGTTGGGCATTGCCCAATCCGCAGGAGATGACGGCTTGCTAAGTATAGCATCGATGACTACACATCATAAGTCTGGCTAAGGCGAGGCCGATCATATTCATGGGACACATGGCCATCACCTGGCAAGATACGACGGTACAAGGTGTACTGGATCGCAAGCTACTTCAGTTTTGGAAAGGACCTAGGAGGAAAGTGCCGGATTCCCCGACCATGGCTTCCATTTTACGGCTCCAGCCTTCTTTAACATCCGGCGCGCCTTGTCTGAAACCGATGCATCGGCAGTGGCATGCCACGTGTGCGACAACCATCATCGAATCAGCTGGATTTACTTACAGACCGCACAAGGGCTCCGGAGCTTGGTCTATGACTTATGTCGTCATTCACTGAACGCAGGAACGTCTAGAGTACCTCGCGACCAACATTTCACCCTGCAGCCCAACGGCAAAACTACGCGGCATACGGCAACCAGATTACATCCCGAAAAAGCCGAATTGCGGGGCCCCGCGTGCCCAAGTTATCAACATGTATAGCTTCGACGCAATATCAGATTACCCCTTTCGGTCTGCTAGCGTATCGCCCAATAACCGTCTAATATGCCTATATTACCACCAAGACCTCGGGAGAATCGCCACGACCATGCGCGTGTGATGCCTTGAACCTGAGATATATAGCTATCAAGGCCAGTTGGAGGAGTCTCCACAGGATCAGGACATTTGGACTCGAATTATCATCATGAAGCTCCTCAGCGCCCTTGGCATCTCAATGGCCGTTGAGGCCGTCTCTGCAGCGGCTCTGCAGCCCCGGCACTGTATGTTTGAGCATCGCTCTTCGACGTCTGCTTGCTGATGTGCTGTCAGACACCTTCCCTGCTCTTACTGGGACCTCCGACTGGCAATTCGTCCGCACCACCGACAACTTCCAGTCGAACGCTGGCGTCTCAAACGTGAACTCCCAGCAGATTCGATGCTACACGTCGGGCTCCAGGTCCGCGCAGACGCAGACAGTGTCTGCTGGCTCTAGCGTCACTTTCAAGGCGAACCCCAACATCTTCCATCCAGGACCATTACAGTTTTATATGGCCAAGGCGCCCAGTGGTCAAAGTATTGAATCTTGGGACGGAAGTGGCAACGTGTGGTTCAAGATTTACGCAGAGCAAGCAACGGTTGCCAATGGGCAGCTCGCCTGGGCGAGTCTTAGTGCGTACATCCACAATTGGTCGATAACCTGCTAACGTAGTGTAGACAAGAACTCGGTCAGCGTGACCATCCCCAGAAATACTCCCTCTGGAGACTATCTTTTGCGGGTTGAGCACATCGCTTTGCATCAGGCGAGTCAAGCCGGTGGGGCGCAATTCTACATCTCTTGCGCTCAGATCCGCGTAACAAACGGGGGGAGCGGCAACCCAGGCCCCTTGGTTTCGTTCCCTGGCGCATACTCAGCCAATGATCCTGGCATCCAGGTCAACATCTACAGCGGCGTCAGGTCCTACACTCCTCCTGGCCCTGCTGTGTGGACTGGTTAGAGTTTCTGTCACTGTTCTCAGCATCCACTAGCATTCGACTTCGTATTCAAATCT